CAGGAATACATGCCTGAATATTTCTTATTTGTTCGGAAACAGACAACCAACTCTGACAATGATCAAACCAAAGAAAAGAATGAGGCGGCAGTAGAGATCACAATCTAAACCAATCTTATCAAGGCAATTGACAATAAATTACACTTGGCTCTTCTCTTTTTTTTTTCTCAAGCACAAAAATCCCAATCTAATTTCTTGTTGATATATTTTGAGGATTAAAGATTAAAAACCTTATATTTATTTTCTCACTCAAGTATGTGGAGATGAAATAATAATCACCTTTGTAGGTTTGGTTATGGTTTTTGGGAGAGAGATTTTGTAGGGTGTGAGGACGTGCATCCAATTGAATGTGTGGAAGATAAGGATAATTTTGATATTATTTAGGGGATAAAATTTTTTTGAGGGTTTTAAAATTTATAAGTGGGATCCAAAGAAATGGGAGATCCAAAATAACTGATGGGATACCAATAGCAACACTCTTTTTTATCTTTTCTTTTTGTCTACAAAATTCCTTTTACACCTCTCGTATATATAAAGTTTTGTTTATTTGGATAGAAAATATTTTTGATTTTTTTATTAAAAATAAAAAATATATTTTTCTATATTTGATAGTGGTGGTAGAATGAAGCTGGTGGTGGTAAGGCAATAGTGATGGTAGTTGTGGTGATGGTGGTGGAGGTTAGAGTGGCGGAGGTGAGAGTGGCGGAGGTGATGTGATGAAATTGGTAAAATTTTAGTCTAAAAAATATTTTCAGCCTTTTAAAAGTAAAAAATATTTTCTTTCCGAATAAGATTGTTTTTCATTTACTGTGAAAATATTTTATACTGACTTTCGTTTTCTATTATATCAAAAAATATTTATTTTTTGCTTTCCTAAATTTTGGCATAAGTATAAATAAGGTTTTCAATTTTGATGTAATTTTAAATTAATACAGATGATGTTCAAATACAAAGATAAATAAGATCAAGGGTGGTAATAGAGAGTTCTAAAAGTAAAATTCTAAATTGAGTTATACTTATGTGGTAAAACACCAGGCCATTAAGAGTACAAAACAAACGCTAACAATATGTCCAATTTATGCCTTGAGATCTTGTGGAAGTCAAAACTGCGATTAAGATGAATAACCAACATGGGTAAATTTGGTTGATGCATGTAGGGTGAATTGTCAAATAGTATGAGGAATCCATATGACTTATAATCATCGGATGTATTTTACTGTTTTATTTCGCCTTTGCATATAAGACCCAAAAGACAATCTTTTGTAAGTAAAAGAGCCCATTTGGATTTGGTGACTTTGGAATAAAAGAAAAAGAAGTGCATTTCTCTCGTTTGTTTGGATTAATTTTTAAAGGTAATAAATGGGGTGTTCTATAACCCTCATTTGCAATTTTGATAATCTTTTTTTTAATGTAATTTAACCAAACAAAAGAGCAGAGAAATCTTTTCTCTCATATCAAATCGTAAAAATTTCTTTTCTTTTCACTCCTAATTCCCAAACAAGAACGTAAATTTTAATTCTAGACCAAATAAGAATCTTCTTGAAGATCATACATGTATACATATACCTGACAACGAGCGACGATGTCGAAGTGCTTGGCCAAGATATCGACGAGTTTGCCTTTACCTTCATCACCCCACTGACAACCCAACACGCCCGAGACCTGACTCAGTGATCCGATTCGACTCAGCCCCTGACTCGCCTACTCAGCAGCCACAGCAGATGGCGATGAAGAAGAAGAAGAAGAAGCAACAAACTTCACAGAGAACACCGCGTCCTTGCGATGGTGAAGATGAAGAAGGTGAGACCCAGCACAGGTTTGGATTGTTCTTCCATAGAAGCTCCCCTGTTGAGCTGTGATAGGGTTTGATTCAAGTGTCAGTGATGAGAGGTTCATCGTAGAGAGAAAGATGAGAGAGCTAGGGTTTATAATTTGTGAGAGGTTTAGAGAGAGGTTTAATTCAATGATTCAGAAGATAAAAATGCAAACGGAAGTTCCTGAATTTTGGCGCATTTCCAGTAGGACTAAGATTAAAATGACATATTTGTGTGCGTAAAGAGAGAAAGAGGGGACCTTTTCGAGATCGAATAGAGGGGCCATGGTGGAGACGAACTGTTCAAGAGACATAGTGGATGAATTCTTGCTACTGTTCTTCCCCCTTTCTCCATTTTTAGAGAAAGAGAGGTTTTTAGGATAACTGGGTTTTGCGAGGTTTTTATATATTTTCCCAATTTTTTTTTTTAAGTGCCGTTATTAGCGGACATCAATTATTTTGGATCCCATTTTTTTAGGATCCCATTTTTTAGGATTTTTTTATTACAATAATAATTTTAAATAAAATTATTAAAAATTACATTAATAATTTTGAGGTATCTCATCTCATAATTAAGGTTTTGTTTAGGAAGAATAGTTGGGTTGGGTTTAGAATTATTTTAACCACAAAAATACAAAATAATTTTTTAGTCTAATAAGACAAAATATCACGTGCAACCCATAATTATTACATTCTTTCTCTCACAAATAGTCAAAAAACCCATAAAATCTTTCCAAAACGAGGCTTTTTAGCCTCAGGCAAAAATAGCCAAAAAGTCAACCCACTTCCCAAACGAATACTAAGCCAACACATACATTATATCATGAATTATAATTTATGAATGCACCCACCTTTATCACTACCCATCCATCTTCTTCAAATCTTACTTTTCCAAACCTACCCACCCTCAAAATCTTAAAAACTCTTTAGCGGTAATAATGGCAATCATTTGATTACCTTCACTTATCCGGTAATGATAACGAGTGAAACTTTTTCTAGCAACCACAACTCCATAAGACGAGAGAAGTATAATAATAAAAGCTCATAAAAATATTCATAATTTTGATGGTATTCTTAGCGTAAAAGAGATTGGCCTTGTAAGAATAAGTATATTGAAAAAAATAACAAAAATAATAAAAACTATTCATCATTTTTTTTGGGACTGAACTCCCGAACATATGACCTAAATTCGAGAATACAGACCTGAACATTTCTTATTTGTTCGGAAATAGACAACCAACTCTGACAATGGTCAAATTGAAGAAAAGAATGAGGCGACAGAGATCATAACCTAAACCAGTCTTATTAGGGCAATTGACAATAATTACACTTGGCTCTTCTTCTTTTTTCTCAAGCACAAAATCCCCAACTCAATTTCTTGCTGGTATATTCTAAGGAATGAAAATTAAAAACCTTACATTTATTTTATCACTCAAGTATGTGGAGATGAAATAATAATCACCTTTATGGGTTTTTTTAGGGTTTTTGGGAGAGATATTTTTTGGGGTGTGGGGAGTGTGCATTCAATTGAATGTGTGGAAAACAAAGATAATTTTGATATTATTTAATGGATAAAAGAAATTTTAAGGGTTTTAAAATTTATAAGTGGAGTCTAAAGAAATGGAAGATTCAAAATAACTGATGAGATGCTAATAACTGCACTATTTTTTATCTTTTCTTTTTGTCTACAAAATTCCTTTTAAACTTCTTATATATATAAAGTTTCGTTTATTTGGATAGAAAATATTTTTTATTAAAAATAAAAAATATATTTTTCTATATTTGGTAGTGGTGGTAGAATGAAGGTGGTTGTGATGGCATGGTGGTGGGGCCATAATGATGGTGGTTGTGGTGATGGTGGTGGAGGTGATGTGATGAAATTGGTAAATTTTTAGTCCAAAAAATATTTGCAACCTTTTAAAAGTAAAAATATTTTATACTCAAATAAAATTGTTTTTCATTTATCATGAAAAATATTTTATATTGACTTTCATTTTCTACTATACTGAAAAATATTTTAAAAAAATATTTTTTGCTTCCCTAAATTTTGGAAGAAGTATAAATAAGGTTTTCAATTTTGATGTAATTTTAAATTAACACAGATGATGTTCAAATACAAAGATAAATAAGATCAAGGGTGGCAATAGAGAGTTCTAAAAGTAAAATTCTAAATTGAGTTATACTTACGTGGTAATGAAAAAATAAAAAAAAATCCAAAACATCACATTATTAATGGGCCCCACTCACTATTTTTTTTATTTATATAATTAATAAATTATCGATGAAGATATAACAAAGTGTTAATATAATTATTTCAAATTTCTAGAACTAGTTATATTTTTTTTTTTCTAAATGTAGCATTTTTACTTGCTACTCTTGCTCAATATAAAATAGTAACACATATTCGAGTGATTTATTTTTTATTCTTCAATGACATAATAAAATTGAGTCTGTATGCCTTAATAATTTTTTTTGTTAAATAATTAGTTTTAAAAATTCCATAAATAATATCACATAATATTAACCATCACTCTATATGAATTAGTAACATTTCATGCAATTACAAGTGCTATAGTCACAATCATTCTACACTTCTACAGCATTTGTAATAACATGATTATGGGTGCTCCGAAAATTGACATTTTTAATGATTGAAATTTTCCAAAAAATTATTTACAAAAATAAAAAATAGTTAACTTTTATAATAACTTTTTTGATTTTTGACATGTTTGAAAATTATTTTTTTAATTTTTTATCAAAAGATGTATAAAAAATTAAAAAAATGATATGACAACTTACAATAATTTTTAACTTTTTAATTATTTACCCTATTGACAAATAAGGTCCCAGAAAAATCCTAAATCAACAATGGTCAAAGACTCGGTGTCTCCAAAATTGACTGATTTACTGTTTAAAAAAAAAAAAAAAAACCTACAAACTGCACCAAACAGAGCCTAAGCCATGGTATCATACCAAAATGCCCTATATTATTACCCAGCAAAGTTATTCAAATTCAACGACTCTATCAAAGTAGCCTAGATTGAGAACTAACATTTGTTACAACGAATGCATGTCCACTAGCAAAAAATTTATCTCTTTGTCCAAAAATTAATCCCAAGCACAGGGAACATACACCTCCAGCATTAAAAAGCTTCATTCTAGCAAATGAGAAGAACAAAAACCCTAATAAATAATATCACTTGTATATAAGAGCATCACGCCCAGGCCCGACGCCTATGTAATGGATGGGAATACCAACAAGTTCTTCTATCCTTTCCACGTATTCCCGTGCAGCCTTTGGAAGATCAGAGTAGTTTCTCACCTTCGAAATATCACATTGCCACCCCAATAAAACTTCATATTCCACCTGACATATATAAGAAAGAAAAAATACAATTCACATGGTGAATGGAAGCCACTATGAGGCAAATGGAAACAATTACAAACTCAATCTTTAGTTTTTCAATTATTTTCTTTAATTTTTGTTATGTATTAGATTATTGATACAAAACAACAAGCGGGGGAGGGTCAAACATCAGGTGTAAACCATCACATTCAGGTAATTTCCTACTTAGAAATAGGACTATTTTTTTAGGACAGAGAAGATTCATTGCTAGGGTTTCCAGGTGAAGACAAGTTTCATTTTGGCATCCTTGAGAACGAGTAGGTCCCAATACATGGAAAACAAAAATGGACAACCAACCACATACTACGTGTAAAGTTTATATTTAGTGAGCCAATGCCATCAAAGTTTAAATCTCCATTGAGTAAAAAGGGTGACCTAGTGTGCGAGGGCTAAAATATACACAACCCTGTGTAAGTTTAGATACCCGTTTCAAATAAATATATGGAAAGGAAAAAGAAATGCTTGCCTTCAGTTGCTCGAGAACGCGAAGATCACCAGGGAAGGATTTGACTGGTGTACCATCAATGTGTTTATACAATACCCCCAACTGAATTTCAGGAAGATCCGATAAGACATCAAGCTTAGTGAGATTTAGAGAAAAAAAGCCATTAATCTGACAGCAGTATTTTAGAGCAACTACATCAAGCCAGCCACAACGACGAGGACAACGAGGACGACCAGTAGTCGTGCCAAACTCCTGCCCAGCAAACCTAAGGAGGTCACCACCTTTACCCAAGATTTCTGTTGGGAAAGGACCTGAACCAACTCTAGTGGTGTACGCTTTAACTTGCACCATAAAATATCAGGTAGGGACCATAAATGACCATGGTGTAAGTGTATTGTGTGAAGTACAAATGTTATTACCATGAGACACTCAGGCGAAATCACTTTCTACAAGAGACACTTGGGAGAAAAGAGAAAAATAATAAAGAAATGAAAGAACTATAACTCTTACCACTCCAACTAGGTCACCAAGAATTCTAGGGGCAATGCCAAGACCAGTACAGATTCCACCAGCTGATGGGCTAAAGGAAGTTACAAATGGATAGGTTCCAAAGTCAATATCCAGCATGGTTGCCTAACCACCTTCCACTAAAATCTTCTTCTTTTGTGCAATGGATTCATTCACGACATGCACAGTGCCAGCAATGAAGGGTTCCAACCTCTCAACAAATCTCTTGTATTTTTCAACTTCTTCTTTGAGCATGTCTGGGCTATACTTACAACCTTGGAATCTTAAAGCTGCATCCGACAATAAGAGATCAAGCTTCTGAGGGAAAGTGTCCATATGCCTAAGGTCACATATTCTAATGCCATTGCAAATAACTTTGCTGGAGTAACATGGTCCAATGCCTCTCTTGGTAGTGCCAATAAAGGAATTAGCTAGCTCGGCCTCTCTAAGGCCATCTACTACTTGATGAAAATCAAATAACAAGTGAGCACGATCAGATACCAATATCTTACCTTTGCAGGAGACCCCATTAGATTCTAGGCCATCAATTTCTTCAAACCACCCTGGTGAATGCACTACAACCCAATTACCAATCACACACACAGTTTCCTCATTAAGAATACCCAAAGGAACAAGATGAAGGGCAAACTTCTTCCCCTCTGCATTGTAAATAGTGCGTCCAGCATTGGCTCCACCCTGACATCAAGTTATATTTAAAGCTTTAGAGTAAAATGATTGCAAGTCTCAGACACCTGGCTGTTTAGGAAGCCACAAGATTAGGGAAGGTAAACACACTATCACTATTACAATCACATAAAGCATGTTCAGAAGAAGGTTTATCAACTCAAAAGGAAGACCTTTCCTTTTTTATGGTTCTTTTTTTTTTCTTAACCAAAAAAAAAAAACAGATCTTTCACCAGCCACATGTAAAATATACTTTGAAATGTGGCAATATAGATATTCATGTTTACATGTAAATTGAAAATCCAAAAGTCATAAAGAGAAGTAGGAAAGAGTTACTATCTGGTGTTCATCAGAGTACTAGTTGTAGATTGGGGAACTTGGTATTTTAGTTGCAAATTTTTGAGCTTTTTTAACTTGGATGAACTCTACATTCAAGTATCAAAACATTATGACACCCATAGCAAAGGAATGGGTGATGCCCATGGATGAAATGCCCCATCTCCTCCCCCTCCCCTCAGCCACTGCCCTCCACCCCTTCCTCTTTCAGCACCATTGCCACCTCCAATTCCCCCTACCCCATTCCACAACCCATCCACTTCTGTTATCCTCTTCTGATTGGACACCAGTGCCACACAGAAGGTCATTTTTTAGGAAGCATCACCTGTTGGCTAATTATAGCTGACGGATTCTGATATGGCAAAGGAAGAGCCAAACATGACAAATTCAATGACAAAGGAATCCAATCAAGTTGTTTAGACAGGGCACTCTCAGATCTGAAGCTCATGACCATCCCATTAGGTTAGTGTCGGCCGTGATGGGTCTGATCTGATTGCAATACCTCAAATGCCTCTTCCACTTATTATCACCACCAACACCTTTGTTATTATGTCGAGCCCACCTCCAAAAACACCTTTAATAGTTAATACCCCAACAAATCCACCACCACTGCCGTTTAAAAATGGTTACTTTGCCCTAACAACCCCCAATGACCAGTCAACAATGTCACTTAAAATGACTTCCAGCCCCACCACCTGTAATATATGCAAACATGTAACATTTACTTATATCCATCCTATCACCACTACCACCACTAAATTACTAGCACATCCTTTGCCTTGCCAACAAAATTGGTTTTAGCAAACTGACAATTCGGGCACTAGCACCTCAAAAATCTCACCACCACCAAATTCCTTTGTCTTTTATAAACTGATCTCCAATTTCTAACATGTTTAGTATAGAGTAATCACTTATTAAAGACCTAATTTCAACACCAGGCCATTAAGAGTACAAAACAAACACTAACAATATGTCCAATTTATGCCTTGAGATCTTGTGGAAGTCAAAACTACGATTAAGATGAATAACCAACAAGGGTAAATTTAGTTGATGCATGTAGAGTGAATTGTCAAACAGTATGAGGAGTCCATATGACTTGTAATCATCGGGTGTTTCTATTTACACACCGCATTTGGTCTCAAGGTACATCACTTACTTAATGCACCCCAAACACAATTTTAACTTTATTATTTTTACTTAATACACACCATCCATTTTCAAATATACCTAAAATATCCTCATTTTTTTCAACCACCCCACCAACCCTAACCCTAACCCTAATTTGAAACCCTTCATTAACTTGCTAGTAACTGGAGCTTAAACATAGAATATATAGCTGGAAATTTGTTCAGAACTGTGAAGTTTTGCAATGCCATAAAATGATATCCACCCTTTATTAACCAAAAGAAAAAACAGGTAACTAACAAGGTATGCAAAACACAAAAATAAAACCAGTCACCCTCAGCACAATATACCCCAAAAAAAAAAAAAACACTATACATCATCAAAATATTAAAAGCTGCAACCTAATGGGTCAAACACAGACCTCCACATGAAATCCAAATATAAAATGACCCATATCACACAGAATAGATCATATCAAATACAGTCGGAAATTTATTTATTTATTTTTTATTTGAGTGATACGATCTGACAATCATCCTAATACTAGCTAAAAAAATGAAGATTTGAAATAAAATTGTATGCGATCTAGGGTTATATGAGTTTAAATTGAAATTCTGACCGAGGTTTTTGTCAAGGGTCTTGGTAAATTGATTCAATAAAAAATAACCAATTAAATCCTCTCACTGTCACGAATCAGGCAGCGGAGAGTGGTGGTGTGTGGGGGGTGCATTGATATTCTTTTATGGTTATTTTGGTCATTTTATGTAAGGTTATTATTGTAATAAAAAATAATCAATTAATGGTGTGCCTTGAGACTATATGTGGTGTGTAAATAGAGGCACCCATAATCATCGGATGTATTTTACTGTTTTATTTCACCTTTGCATATCAGACCCAAAAGACAATCTTTTGTAAGTAAAAGAGACCATTTAGATTTGGTGACTTTGGAATAAAAGAAAAAGAAATGCATTTCTCTCATTTGTTTGGATTAATTCACGCCCCGAGAATTCTGTGACACAAGGAGCAGCATTTGAAGGATGCTGGAAGGTTCTGGAAGGTGTGAGAACAAGCTAGAGTATGCTGGAAGGCTCTAGAACCTGTTGGAAGGGTCTGGAGTGGCCTAGAAGATTCCGGAATGTGGTGGAAGAACCTTGGAGGGTCCAGAAGTGTCTAGATGGGTCTGGAACATCCTAGAATATCATGGAGAAGCCTACCATGTACTACACTAGTGTAGAGAGTCCTAGAAGGTAGTAGAAGGATAGTTGTCCTAGATATTTCTATGGAGAGTTCTAGAGGTGAGTTTGTAGCCCTTGGATCAAAATGATCCTAGCCATCCATTGAGGAGGAGGATGGCTATATAAGGGGGAAGGGTCTCATTTGTAAGGCACCTATCCAAGAGTGTAAAGTACTTGTGAGGGTGAGAGCCTTGTAAAGCTTTGTACACAACTATACTTGTATAGTAAATATATTCTTCCACCTCAACTATACTTGTATAGTGAATACATTCTTCCACTTAAACTTTGTGTTGTAGTTAGTGTGGTTGAGTGGAGAAGGCTGACTTAGGTGCAACCGAGACTTTGTGTTGTAGTTAGTGTGGTTGAGTGGGGAAGGCTGACTTAGGTGCAACCGAGTGGGTGAGAGGCATCTAAGGCCGCACGGTTGGCTTGGAAAAACCAAAGGTTAGTTTAGAAAATCCAAGACCGTGATAGTTGGTATAGTAAACGTAATAAATGGGGTGTTCTATAACGATAAAAAATTTTGTATGTAATTTAACGAAACAAAAGGGCAGAGAAATCTTTTCTCTCATATCAAATTGAAACAATTTCTTTTCTTTTCTCTCCTAATTCCCAAACAAGAATGTAAATTTTAATTCTAGACCAAATAAGAAACCTTCTTGAAGATCATACATATATACATATACCTGACAACGAGCGACGATGTCGAAGTGCTTGGCCAAGATATCGACGAGTTTACCTTTACCTTCATCACCCCACTGACAACCCAAAACGCCCGAGACCTGACTCAGTGATCCGATTCGACTCAGCCCCTGACTCGCCTACTCAGCAGCCACAGCAGATGGCGATGAAGAAGAAGAAGAAGCAACCGACTTCATAGAGAACACTGCGTCCTTGTGATGGTGAAGATGAAGAAGGTGAGACCCAGCACAGGTTTGGATGGTTCTTCCATAAAAGCTCATCTCTTGAGCTGTGATAGGGTTTGATTCGAGTGTCAGTGATGAGAGGTTCATCGTAGAGAGAGAGGGAGAGCGAGATCAGAGAGACCAAAGAGATAGGGCTTACAGTGAGAAAGAGATTAAAGGACTGTTGTGTGTGGAATAATTTAATGGGTATGTAATTGTCCATGTTATTCCCTTTTTTGTTTCGAATTTTCTTAGGAAAATTTTAAATATATATAAAATTTATAAAAAAAATATGATAAAAATTAGGGCAAATTACACTAACAGTCTCTATAATTTGGTACTCGTGTCACTTTGATCCTTGATTTTTCAATTGTGACACATTTGACCATGAATTTTGAATTTTGTTCCAAATAAGGACAATTGAAGATACCATTGTTAATTTCAAGGGGAAAATCATCTGAATAAAAAACAGAAATGTGCTCCGCAGTTATAGGAGGCTAATGTTCTCACTAATGAAAGAAGTTGGGCCACGTCGGCGAATCTTGTTTCTTGGTGGCTGGTCGTTTGAGTTTTAGGAGTCAGATGGAGTGGATGGGAAGTGTGGGTTGTGGATTGTTGAGAGGGGGGAGGGGTTACGATGGGCGGTGGTGCTGAATGGTTCGAAAATTCGGTGGTTGGTGGTCCGGATGAGATTAGCATCTAAGGAATCAGGCAGTCTAAAGTTTTGGGGCCGTCTCAGTGGGGGAAATCGAACTACTGTGGTATGGGTACGAGGTGAGGAAGGTGGGGGGCCTTCTTTTCAAATTGTGGTTACCACAGGACAGAGACGCGAACAAGTTTACATACCTGTGTCTGCGTTCGATGATGGCTGGGAAGGGGTGGCGTTGGTTGTTGATGGCTTTGGTTTGTGTGTTGCAAAGGCCTCCCGACCCATTGGCTCGAGGAAGGTTGCCTCTATTTCTATTGCCGCTTGTGAGTCTGCTCGGATTGTCCCCTCTAAGGTGGAGGTTGACTGGTTTCGCATTTTGGATCAGTCGTTAGTGGGTACATTGGGCGGTTTGGGGGGCAAGGGTTTGAGTTTTGCAACCATTTTTGATTGGGTTTCCCGGTGGTGGAAACATTTGGGTAAGGTGGACGTAAGACCTGTGGGGGATAAAGCGATTCTGTTTGTTTTGTCAAGTAGGGATGCGGCGGAAGCGCTGTTGCTACGA